GCGCCCACTCACGGGCCCTTCCTCACTGACCCCCTCCCCGGCGATCCCACCTGCAACTTCGGCTTCCCGCCCGACCCGTGCGTGGCCGCCTGGCAGGCCAACAGCAGCGGCCCCTACTCCCGCGCGGGCGTCAACTCCAACGCCTTCCTCCTGCGCACGAACCACACCGCCCCCGGTGGCGAGGCGGACGTGCTAATCTTCTCCATCGCCAACTTCGCCTTCCGCGGCTACTGGCCCAACGAAGCCGTCGTCACCATCCCCACCGACCCCCTGGGGGTGTTCGGCATGTCCATGGTCAAGATGGACATGCGCAGCGCGGATGGGAGCGTCAAGCTCCGCAGCGCCGACCCGCGGGATACCCCCATTATCAACTTCGAGGTCCTCAGCGGGCCGGGCGGCGCGCAGGACCTCGAGGCGCTCGTGGATGCCGCGGGTTGGGCCCGCGGGGTGTACGGTAACGTGCAGGCGCCGGTGGGGCCGATGACCACCAAGGAGCCGGCGTGTGCCGGCACCGCGTGCAGGGACAGCGACAGGGAGTGGGTGCGCGCGCAGGCGTTTGGGCATCATGCCACCAGCACGTGCGCGATCGGCGCGGATAGGGACCCCTGGGCGGTGTTGGACAGCAAGTTCCGCGTGCGGGGGGTGACGGGTTTGAGGGTGGTGGACGGCAGCGCGTTTCCGAGGACGCCGGGGGCGTTTCCGGTCGTTTCGACGTTTATGCTGAGCGAGAAGGCCACGGAGGATGTGCTGGCGGATGCGGGTAAGTGGTAGGTTAGTGATGCGATGTCTTACCTCCTAGGGCTCTCCGAGAAGGGGATTGGCGTCTTGCTCAACAACACGCTTGATGTCAGTGTCTCCTGAGATTGGAGGGGGGCGTGGCATGATCGGCTACCAGATAATCACTTTTGGGATAGTCAAAAATTTTCAAACGATTCGACCTCGGTAATGGATGTTTGATTCTTGATTGGTCTCTCCCACAACCGGCAACTGCAGCCCCTGAAGCACCGACATGTCGGCGTTGGTCAAAGACAACCAGGCTCGGTCCATAGGGTGCTGCTGTCGTGAGCGTGGGGAGAGTCTTTGGCGACAAGAGCTTGGCTTCCACCAACTCTTTAGATTCAGCATATTCCGGCCAAGGTAGACAGTAGTGGTGCTTAGGGCTAGTGTGACTGAGGTGAACAGCTGTGGGAGACTCGAGTCGTGAGCCGCGGTTAACCGACGGACGGGGTATGGGGGGGGAAAGGTTGTGTTGGACGCTTGGCAGCAATAGCGACGAGGAGGAAGGATGATAGGGATTAGTTATCACAATTAATCATCGAGTCAGAAAATCTCTCAACCCAAACTTGGCGAGAACGCCATGTATCGGTGAAGAGCAGCGGTGGTGTGCAAGAAGAGTTGATCAACGGTCTCGGTTGTTGGGGCCCAATCCCTCAGCAAGGATCCATACCGAGGTGTGTGTGCTTGGCGAGAGGAACACCTACAAACGAAAAGCACATGTCTCCCGCAACAAACGAAACATTCTGGGCATGTTGATCGTCGGCAGTCTCTATCATTGCAGGGAGTCGCCACTTGGCATCCTCGTTCTCCGACTGGTCCGGAGCATCTCGCGCGAAGCTCGGTAACTTGACCGACGCCGAGTTTTTCACATTTTTCTCTCCCTCGGTGAGCAGACCAGGATAAGATCGATCCATCCAGCTGTGGAATCCACCTTCTCGCTTCCCCAGTCCGTGGAGCTGGCCGCAGCATTTGGATTCCTGGCCGTCCTTCTCCAGCTCGGAAGCACGGGAGACCCAGTGTCGACGCGCGGGTCCAGCCATGGCCACGTCAGTTCCTCTGAACTGAGCGCAGAACGCCTCCTCCTTCGAGTATCTCAAGTTCCCCCAAGCGGCAACCACCAAGCCAGCCGTGAACGAGCGACGTCTGAGAAGGATCGCTCGGCACAGAGCCGCTGCAGAATTAAGCTTTTGGCAGGCCTGCCTTCCCGCGATTGGTCCCCTCGGCCAGGCGGGAGGCTTCCGGCATTTGGACCTTGGCTGCTTGGCTCCTGTCGACTCCACACTGGCGTCATGAATCACGAGTTATCAGACGCTCAATGTTTTATCAGACACGCCTGCCTTGGCCACTTCTCGCTGCAACGCCTGCCAACCTTGTCACGGCCCACTCCCAACCTGGGACAGCGCGGGCATTCGAGAAGATACCGCCAGCCGGGGTCCGCCGGGACCTTCCGCAGGATTATGCGACGGTGTGACGACGACGGCTGGGTCCAGGAACCTGAGGATCTGGGGCGGCAACTACCACCGTTGTTTCTCGGATGGTGCCTCTCTGGGGAACGTGGGGGGACGGGCCCAGACCAGCCAGGCCCATCCCGCGGACGAGAGGAACAAGGCTCGATACCGAACGTTCTGGACGAGGATATTCGACGGAACTTTGGGCAACGGGGGGCAGGGATTCAGCTGGTACGGACCGACTCGGCGACTGAGCAGGGTCGATGCTGGGTGGTTTCAGGGGAGTTGTTTGCAAACGGTCTTAAACATGGCTCCTGCGACACTCTGTTCCCCGGCCGCCGTCACGACTACCCACGACGACCTGCTCCTTCTCTTCTTCCTCGAGCTGGGGTAGCTGGCCTTCTGTGGACGCGGGCACACCCTCCCCTTCCCTCCCCGACTCGTCACCGCCTCGACCATACCAGGCCCGGAAGGACACCTCTGGTCTCTGCCTCCAGTCTTTCCCCCTCACAGCCACCGTGCCCCGCCCGTTCTGGTTTCAACATTCACCAGAACACAAGCAGCAGGTGGCACAGACAAGAGAGACCAACACGCCCTTCCCTTCGTCCCCGAGCACTCAGCAACCATGGCGGCCATCAACACCGCCCAGTACGGCCTCCCCGCCGACAAGAAAACACCCTTTGGTGCTTCAGACTCGAGCGACATGGAACCCCAATTCGACGATGAGGTGGGCGACGTGCGCGTCGTGGCCGCGCCCGACCGAGACTACGAGAAGCAGAAGGCGGCCGAGGGCGAGGCGCACTTCCACCGTCTCGGCTGGAAGCGTCTCACCATCGTGCTGATCGTCACAGCCGTCGCCCTGGGCAGTCTCAGTCTCCCGGGCGCCTTCGCCACCCTCGGCATGGTGGCCGGCGTCATCCTCTCGGTCGGCATCGGCCTCGTCGCCATGTACGCGAGCTACGTCGTCGGCCAGATGAAGCTCAAGTACCCGCACATCTCGCACTATACCGACGCCGGGCGTATGATGTTCGGCAAGGTCGGCTACGAGATCATTAGCGTCATGTTTGTCCTGCAGCTCGTCTTCACCATCGGCTCGCACGTCCTGACGGGCGCCATCATGTTCGGCAACCTGACCAACGACGGCGCCTGTACCATCGTATTCACCGTCGTCTCGGCCATCCTGCTGTTCGTCGTCGCCATCCCGCCCAGCTTCTCCGAGATGGCCATCCTCGGCTACATCGACTTCGCCTCCATCATCGCCGCCATCTCCATCACCATCATCTCGACCGGCGTCCGCGCCGGCGAGCTGCCTGGCGGCGTCTCGTCGGTCGCGTGGTCTGCCTGGCCCAAGGAGGGCCTCTCGTTGGCCGAGGCCTTTATCGCCATCAGCAACATCGTGTTCGCCTACAGCTTTGCCCTGTGTCAGTTCAGCTTCATGGACGAGATGCACACGCCCACCCACTACAACAAGGCCATCCTGACGCTCGGCGTGTTCGAGATCTTCCTGTACACCATGACCGGTGCCCTGGTCTACTCGTTTGTCGGCCCCGACGTCCGCTCGCCCGCCCTGCTGTCGGCCGGGCCCATGGTGTCCAAGGTGGCATTTGGCATCGCCATCCCCGTCATCTTCATCTCGGGCAGCATCAATACGACGGTGGTGGCGCGCTACATCCACGGCCGCATGTATAAGAACAGCGTCGTCCGCTACGTCAACACCCCCAAGGGCTGGGCCACGTGGATCGCCCTAGACGCCGCCATCACGCTGCTCGCCTGGGTCATCGCCAGCGCCATCCCCTTCTTCTCGGACCTGCTGGCCATCTGCTCATCGCTCTTTGTCTCGGGTTTTACGTTTTATTTCCCCGCCATAATGTGGTTCATGTTCATCCGGGAGGGCGGTTTCTTCGAGCGCAAGAACCTCATCCTCACGGCCGCCAACGCATTGTCCTTCATCGTCGGCGTTATTGTCCTCGGCGTTGGGACCTATGCCAGTATCTGGGATATTGTGAGTGATTTTCTCCTTCTCCCCTTGCTCTCGCCTTGTTTGGCAGCACCGGGTGCTAACCGTTTCGCCTCCGTTCAGATTCATCGGTACCAAGTCGGCGCTGTTTCGGATCCGTTCAGCTGCGCGCCCATCGCTTGAGCGTCGGGGCCGCACAAGCGTTTTATTGTCTTTAATTCTTTTTAATTAGGGGCTTGGAGGAGGAGGAGGAGTTGGTCAATACTCACCAGGGCCACGAGGAACCCCGCCACGGAGGGTTCCCATCCATTCAGGCAATGGCTGGCAAGACCGGTTTGCGGCCCTGGTCTTTTAATGACGGATAGACTTTGACGAAGTCATGTGATTAGAGGTATTCTCAGGGAGTAGATGGCTTTTTGGTGTTTTGGCGGGGGCTGTCTCTGTATCATCATCGGGGGTTGTGGTTGGGTTTGCATTGCTAGGATAAAGGGGGACGGACATGGACAAATGAAGACAAGGACCATGTCAAACCACCCCTTTGTTGTCTCTGTCTCCAAACCGAACTTGAACGACGCCCAACAAATACAAATGTGCCAGCCAGAAACACCAGGGTAAGTTAGTCACAGTGCTGCCTCGAAACCTCAATCAAGCGCCTCGACACACAAAAACACCAATTGGGAGAAAAAAATCACAGGACTGCCGAACACTCCGTCCTCCCACCTCTGTCCGTCAAGCATCCACCTCACCCCAACACCCCCCTCGCCTCCCAAAAGAATTCACCCAAAGAAAAAAACACAGCCGAAGACTTTACAGAAGACTGCCCAGTAACAGGATTGAACTGTTGACCTTCGCATGAACAGAATATAGCTGGGTGTGCGATATTAGTACGACGCTCTAACCAGCTGAGCTAACCGGGCGTTGTGGGGTGTCTTGTTTGTTGGAGTTGTGGGTTCCGCAATGTCGCTTCTATGTTCAGGTCGGTTGTCTTGTGGGTTTTGCGATGGGGTCACTTTTTGAGAGGGGACGAGGTGGAGATTGTTTGTTGATGAGTGGGTTGGGGGGAGGGAGTGGAGTTGGGAGGTTGGGTGGTGGAACACACACAACACCACTCATGACAGGAGAGAACCTGGGGCAGACGGGTCAGACAACTTGCAGCAAGTCAACAACTAGATATTTCATGGCAGGCACTGGAGCAGCCTATGCGCCGCACTCCTACAGTGCGTTCTGTAAACACAGCCCAGATATATCACCTCTCCCCATCCCCGTCCCCTTAACCCGACAGCCCCAGCTCCTTGTAAAACGCTTCCGAGCTAGGCTTGCGGCCGAGGAACTGCTCGAGCGTAAGCATCTCGTCCTGCGACCCGCCCTTCTCGAGCACCGTATGGCGGTACCGTCGGCCCTGGATGGGGTCCATGGGGTTCTCGCGGAACACCGTGTAGAACATGTCGGTCGAGAACACCTGCGAGGACAGGTAGCCGTAGTAGCCGGCGTCGTAGCCGCCGATCAGGTGGCCAAAGGTTGCCTGGCCGTTGCCCCAGGTGCTGCATCAAGTCTGTTAGCAAAATGAACCTGTTGTGGGCGGGGAATGGAACACGTACCTCGGCTCGCCCTGCGCCTCGGGGCCCTTGATCTGCGAAATCTCGACGCGCAGGTCATTGTACAGCTTGCTCACGTCCAGCTTTTCGAGCTCCTCGTGCGTCTTGGGAGAGTGTACCGTCATGTCAAACAGGCCAAAGTGCAGTTGGCGGAGGTTGAACAGGGCGTCGTTGACGTGCTTGGTCGCGATGAGCTTCTGGACCAGGTCGTCCGGGATCGGCTCGCCCGACTTGTAGTGGGTGCTCAGGCTCTTGAGCTGGCTCGGGGTCCAGCACCAGTTCTCGAGCATCTGACTGGGCGCCTCGACAAAGTCGCGCACCGTCGAGGTGCCGTGGTAGCGGGCGTAGCGGGTCCGGCCGGCCAGGTCGTGGATGCCGTGGCCCAACTCGTGGAACAGGGTCACGACCTCGTCGTGCTTGAGGAGAGACGGCTTCTTCTCGGTGGGCTTGCTGAAGTTGCAGACGAGGGCAGTGGCGGGGTAGCGCCGGGTGCCGTCGGCCTTCTTGAAGCCGGGCTGCAGGCTGAAGTTGGCGGCGTGGCCGTACTTGCCCGGGCGGGGGTGCAGGTCGAGGTAGAGGTAGCCGACAAAGCCCTCGCCCTCGCTTGCGTCGTCCCAGACGCTGAAGATGATGACGTCCTCGTGCCACGCAATGTCCTCGGCCTTGCCTGTGGACGAGATGCGCTTGCGGTCCTCGGGGGTCAGCTCGACAAAGACGAGGCCAAAGAGCTCCTCGAAGATGCGCAGCATGCCGGCGACGGTCGACTTGAGTGGGAAGTACTCGGCGATGGCGTTCTCGTCGATGCTGTACTCCTGCTCGACCATCATGCGGTCGTAGTATCGGTGGTCCCAGAGGTAATAGTCGCCGTCAAAGGGCAGGCCACGGGCCTCGTGGTCCTTCTTCTTGAGCTCCAGCAGGTGGTCAATCTCCTTGACGCCGCCCGGGGCCAGGCGGGTCTTGAGGTCGCCCAGAAAGTCGAGCACCGTCTTGGGCGTTTTGGCCATCTTCTCCTCGATGCGGAAGGAAGCGTGGTCTGGGTAGCCAAGCAGGCGGGCGGCCTCGTCGCGGAGGAGGATGGCCTCCTTGAAGAGCGGGGCGTTTTGGTTGCACTGGGATTGGGTTAGTCCCCGCAGAAACAACACCGGCTAGAGGGTCTCTACCTTGTTCTCGTTGTCGATGAACACACGACGGCGAGTCTCGGGGCTCTTGGCAAACTTGAGCGTGGGGAACAGGTCGGGATACTTGAACGAGAGCCTGATCTTGCCCTCGTTCTCGTCCTTGCCCTTCTCCAGGGTGTCGAGGACGTCCTGGGGCACGCCGTCAAGCTCCTCCTTGGTGAACCAGATGCCATTGTTCTCCTCGTTCAGGTTCTTCTGGAAGGCGATCTGGATCTGGCTCAGGCGTTTCTTGATCTCCTTGAAGCGGTCACGCTGGGAGCCCTCGGGCAGGCCCAGACCATTGCGCAGGTAGCTCTTGCGCTCCTTCTCGAGCAGGCGGGCGCTCTCGACGTCATCGAGGCCGGCCGTCTTGGCGAGGGAGGCGTCGATGAGGCGGTCCTTGTCCTTGCTGTAGCTGACCGAGAGGCCCGAGTTGTTGTAAACGGCGTCGACGAGGCGGAAGACGTCCTCACGCATGCTGCACTCGATCGAGAACTCGTCCATGATCTTCTCGGCCTCAGTGCTGGCGTCGCGGAGGGCGCTGTCGCCCGAGACATACTGGTAGAAGCCGAGGATGCGGGCGCTGAGGGAGCTCTCGTTCTCGTCCTCGGTCTGGGGGCGCAGGACCGCCTCGAAGGTGGCGGCGGCGGGCTTCTCGGCGGGCTTGATGTCGGCGACGAGCTTGTCGAGCAGCGAGCGGGTGCGGTCGCAGAGGGCCTTGGAGTCGGCGACGATGCTCTCCTTGGAGCCCGTGAAGAGGGGCGGGGCTTGAGGAGGGTTGGCGTATTTGGCCATGTCGACGTTGGGGGCGTGGGTGAAGAAGGAGGCTGGCGAGGAGAAGGTCACGGTCCCCAGAACAGGGCGGGCAGCAGTAGTGACGGCAGTGAATGATCCCCCAAGTGGTGCCTGGTGGTGCGACTTGCTGTACTTGAGCTGGGTGAACAGCACCGAGAGGCGGGGGACAACACGTGGGGCAGCCAGGATGAGGGTTGACACGGAGAAGAGGACGAGGGAGAGGAGGAGCAGGAAGACAGCCCGCCGGATGGGGATTGTGGGGGAAGCAGCAGCGGTCGCCAGGGTGAATGGGAGGGGGTGAAGGAAGCCAGGCACCGGCAGGGAGAGGGAGGGAGGAGGGGGGGGAGGGGGTGGTTGCAGGTTGCGTAACAGGGCACACAAGTGGTGTGCACCTTGACGGTTGTGGGGTCCGAGAGCTCAGCTCAGGCAGTGGCGGGCAACAGCAGCAGGGAGGAGTGAGCGAGAGAGCGGCAGTGAGAGCAGTGGGTGGTGGCCTGTGGAACTGCGGGGAAGCTCAAGGCGCGGCCGCTGTGCAGCGGGTGGGGCGAACACGAGCGGACAGGGCGGGCAGTGGCCAGGCGTCAGGATACGCAGTGGACGTTGGGGGCTGTCGGGCGTCCAACTGCTGCTGAGCACTGAGGCGATGCGGGGCACGTCGGGCGGGACAGGGCACCAATGCCGGAGATTGGGCTTTGAGGGCTCTGGAAAAAGCAAGAATGTTTTGGGCTGGCTGCCTGGTTGGTGATTGATTCTTTTTGCGGATTGATGCCGGTTGATGTTGATGTTGTTTTGTTGTTTCTGGTTGTTCGGTTTTAGATGGAATGGAAGCTCGGGGAAGTGCTTTGGCCAACTTGGCTTGAGCCGAGCCTCAGGAGGTGCCCCGCTGTTCAGCAACGCCAAGTCACGATCTGACTGGACCACCGCATCAGGGGTAATTCTGCACTCTGCTTGCACACCTCTGGCAGGGAGACTCGCCCGGGTAAACCCGCTGCCGGGTTTCTGCTTGCATCTCGTCTCAACCTTCCCTTCGTTTCGTTTGCTATCTGAGTCTCTAGCCTGTGTGTACCCTATCCCAAATCCCGAATGGTGTAACATCAAGACCCATCCAGGTGCCCAAATTCAATACAATCCATATTGCACAAGACTCCAACGCCGGCCACCCGTCGCACAACCCATGCAGTCAGTGAATTTCCCCCCGCCGTTGTCGTCTCGAGGCTGAGCCCGCCCGCTCGTGACCCAACCAGCCTTCAACCGTCCCGTTGCGTTACCCTCTTTAGTTGGAGAGAATGGTACGGACAAGTTCTGTTATGGGCAAATGGTCAGCAAATGCCCCCTGGTTGGCACAGACATACGGAGCGTGAGGGGACTGCCTACCCGTGTAATTCACCTGCCCCGAGCTGGTGTCGACGGCCTTGAGCAGCTCGTCCACCTCCTCCTCCGACATCTTCTCGCCCAGGTTGGTCAGGATGTACTTGAGCTGGCCCACGCCGATGAACCCCGTCATGTCCTTGTCAAACACCTGGAAGCCGCGGCAGTACTCCTCGGGCTCTCCGGGGTCGCGGAACCCGCCCGGCCGGTTCAGGATGCGCTGGAACGTCTCGAAGTCGACTGTTTGGAGCAGGCAAAGTCAGCTGCCGTTATTTCTCACAACCACCTTGATGTCTCGTCGACTGGGGATATTCCTCACATTCGTTGCCGCTGACGGACCGCTCGAGGTCCTGGATCTCGGCGAGGGTCGGGTTCTGGCCGCACGCGCGGAGGAGGTCACCAAGCTTGTCGCGGACGACGCGGCCGACGCCACGGGTGTCGAAGAGCGAGAAGGCTTCCTTGTAGTTGGTCGAGGCCTGTGACGGGGTGGTTAGGAGTTGTCTGTCATGACTGAACAACGGCGCGAGTGGTGATCCAGTCGCCGACAGGAAGGGCCCTCGTAACAACTGGATCGCGGGGTGCGATGTTCTACCGCCGCCGTTCCTCTGCCTGTTTCTTTTCCCCCAGATTCTGCGTGAACTTGCGTAATGGTCGAGGAACGGCAGCGGAGCCGATCAACCTTCGAGTGGCGACACGGCCAAATCTCGAGTGTGCGCCAGGAGGATCTCACTCACCATTGTGTGTAGTTTTAAGAGGATCTGGTTGACGGGTGGTTGACGGGTATTGCGGGTGCTGGAGAGGCAGGGCAGAAACGCGATGCAACGACAGGCAGGTTGGTGATGGAAATGGCGGGATGTGAGGTGCAAAGGTGGAAACACTCGCACCAAAGCGGGCGGTTTGCGCCCCCAAAAATAGCCCCACTTGGACCCTGGTTGTTGTCGTGCCCGGTTGTCTCACGGGGCAACCGAGCCCCGCCGCTCTCCAGTGAAGCCCCACGACAAC